TTCCTCAGCTCAGGCTTAGCTTGGAGGAGTTGTATGCGTGACTTTGATATAGCATGCTCACCCATTTCAAAAAAGGAGGTCTATTTGGGAAAGAGAAAATCCGTCTAAGCATGCTTCAATGTTGTGGTTTTGTGACCTAGTAGAAGAATGCGTTACAAGACGTAAAAACCATTTTGGATCACAAAGATGGCGGAAGATTGTATCAAGAGCCTATGAACATTGAAGGTGAGTAATCTCTGAGATTGAGCGGACTTAAAGCTCAGCCAGCAGTGAGCTGGAAGGGCCTCTCACAATAGTTGGGAATGAATGCCTTGATTTCTGATAAGGAATACAGACACATACGGTGATGCATGTGGATATAAGCGAAGAGTTTCGAGAATGCACTTATGAAGATACTCCATTGATTGAATGTTGTCATACGTGAATATATCTAAAGCGTCGATTTCTTGAATAAGCTGCTCCTAAAAATGTTCAATGATATTATTTCTCACTGTGCTACTACAACGGCCAACCTTGGCGCTAATTTTTTGCTACCTGCTTTGCGTCATGCCTAGCTAATAGGTCGCAAGCTAATGCTAGACTGTTGGCTGTAGTATCGAATCCCGCTATAGCAATAAAACGACACTGAGCAAACCGTTTCCTAAAATGAACACCTACCTGCTCACATTGCACTAACCATGGTCATTGAAAAAATTCGCCAAAAACTCACTCCAGGTGCCATGGACTTATTGATCCGGATTGAACTAAAATCAATTTTCCCGGAGGCTTTTTCGCTGCGGAAGCCATTGAACGATTTTTTCTCGACATCTTTGAAGAATTGCAAAAAATCATAGTTCTTCTCTTGTGGACGTCGGGCAGATTGTAGTTTCGCCAAATTATCACAGAATATTGAGAGTGGTGAAGTTTTTCCAAATACGTTTTCACAGGCAATCCGGTAAAATTTTTTTAACTGGCAAACAAATCCAGCTAGTATCGGAAAGCATACTAAAAATATCTTTGGTTCTATCTGATCAAGAAAAGGTAAATGAAAGACAATCTCATTTGTTGGAAAGGAACTTCTCATGGGAAAGCTAGAAACACTTCGAAAGCTGAGCTTGTGGCTACAGCCCCAGTCGCCGGTTTTTCAAAAATCCTCTTGTAATGCTGTAAACTTCAAACAAAACTAGCGCTTATTTCTCGCCGGACAGAGCTCTTACTTTGGACTTTTAGTAATCATAAAATAGAGTAGTGCACCCTGATGACAGCGCTACGCATATATCCTGACAAGAGCGTTTCTCTGTAACGCAACAGGTGGAGTAATTTAAATTCTATGCGTGAGAAAGAACGATTTGGAGCCAATTCACGTCGCGGTGGGTGCGGCGACCACGTGGAATGGTGACGCGACACATTTCTACGCGCTCAAAGGCTCGAAAATCGATGATCGCGTCACAGGTAGCCGCAGGCAACGCCCACGTGAATTCACGCAGTTCCCGTTGCTCCCAGATAGGAATTCGACTTATTACCAGCCGCGCTGCGGCTTATTTTACCTGATGCGCTTCAGAGAAACGGTCTTTTCAAGATATAAGCACGGCTTGGAATCAAATTTGATTACGTTATCGAATGACTTTCGAATAATCAAAAAAAGAGCTTCTATGAAAAGTTTATCTCCAGCAATTAGGATCGGTATATCTCCTGTCCTCTGCTAATCAGAGAGAACCGTATTCTTCATATTTCTCTTCTGGCAGTTGTTGAGGGACGTGAGAAGTTCATCCACTCTTTTCATAGTGTATGTAAAGTGACTTGCGAAATGCACGATCGTGTATATAGAATTTGTCAAGGTAGAACCGACGGAGAAAACGATAATAACAGTAGGATAAGAACGAAGACAATTTCGAAATCTATGAATAGTGCTAATGTGAAATACTTAATTGGTAGGTCGAGGCAAAAGGCAAAATGAGAACCTCTTTCATTTATTTTGTGTGAAAGACTGTGAAATAACATCCACAAGAATACTGAAGTAGGATCGATTTGTGTGGCTTCACATAGGGTGGATTTAAACTCATGCATACCCTTCGGCGTGGATACCAAGTTTTCACTACACCATCGAGGCCTTCACACCACTTTTTCTCTTGACCATGCTTTTGGCTGCTACCAGAGATTATCTATTAAGATAATTGCTCTGATGCGCAAAAATCAGCTGAATATAACTAAGTTAAAGCTGCAGTGGACATTGTGGAGTTTCAGTGCTTTTTCTAATAGCCTATTCATTTTTAATGGCAGGGTACGATGCGAATTACAACCACAATAACGCTTAAATTCGCGTATCGGGACTTTTCTGCCACTTTGTAATTCACAGATCAATTCAGTAGACGGATGCCTGCTGACAGCCATCAAATAGGTTAAAACACACCCGAGAGGAAGGTATAGTGAGGGCCTTAATGATGTAGTGTGTAACATGGGAACCCTCCAAAAGGGTAATCGCAGTTTCGAAGCTCACTTGATGTTTTGAGTTTTGCTCGTTTTTCAGCATTCTTGTAAAAGTACTTCAGATCGTACCTTGCTGTAAAGAAAGAATAGGTAGCAAAATAAAAGTCAAAATAAAACAAAAATTTTGAAGCTGGTGCCTGTAAGGCTGGGTTTTTACAGTAAATGATTTTGCCTGTTTCACGAATGAGCAATATAATCCGTATAGAGGGTAGAAAATAACTAGAACTACTATTTCTGCTCTATCTAGACATTCGATCATATTTTTTTCACACTTCTGTAGGATCTAACATGACGTGTATTTTGACTTTGAGAATCATTCAAACGTACGATGAAGCATTCCAACCATTTTTGGTTATCTGATCCAACAAGCCCAGAAAACTATTCAATCTCATTCAAGCGCTTAAAAGGTAATGTGGTGAATTTTCCACGTGAATGTGGTATCAACAAAACTTCTGCGTGTCATAACAGCTTGTTGGAGCACCATAAACTCTTTCCATACCTCCCAGTCGCATCCTCGTATCGAAATCTTTGTTCAATTGCTAATCAGTAGGCACTAAAGCCTTAGTAAATAAGTTTTTGAGATAACCGTTAGGTTTTATTTATTACGCGGCTCGCAAGATGTTGAAAGGATCAAAAAGAGCTCAAAAGACTTTGAAAAATTGCCCTCAAGGGCACTAATTATAATACCTAGGGACACTACAGCGTCCAAATGGTACGGAATGGACTCAATAGAAAGCGAGCGGCATTAAGTTGATAGATCTGTAAATATGATTCAGTACTTTCATCTCGTAGAAAAAGACAAGTTGATAAATGATTTGAAATGAGGAATTGTAAGATATACAAAGACAACATAAACAATTTTCACAGTCACGAAGCTATTAGAAATAAACAGTCGTAGTTTGAAAGTTCCGAAGAAATTATTGCGACCAAAGGTGCAAATTCATGGAGCTGATCGTGTGCTTTACATAAAATTGGAATTTATCTAACAAGAGAGATTAAAGAGCTGAACCAAGTTGCCTGCCCTTCCGCTGCATTTTTTTCTTATTACTAGAAACGTCTCAGACCACACAAATCTTAACAAGAAAACGAAACATACATGATGTCGTATTCCAATAACAAGTCGAAGTTCCCAACTCTTCTCCAAAAGCTTGTAAAAAAATTTTATGATACAAATTATCATGATGAAGTGACTGAGGCTGACCAAATGCACATCGAGCCAAAAACATCAGATGTGTGGTTTGAAACAGTCTGAAATAACCAATGTTAACGAAAATCTTAACAATTTAAAGATAATTAAGGGACAAAATACAATTTTCCACAACTGATAGATGTCGCTTTGTATAGTAGGTAGTGCTGTAACGTGACGTAAAGCCAGATCAAGAAGCATAACGAGTACAAGTGGTACAAAACGAATTAAAAAATTCAACTCACACAGAGACTCACTTATGAACCTCGATAGGCGCCCTAAGTGGTAGGCCTTCTAAGAGTTTCATAAAACTGCTAACAGATTCCTCTATTAAGGGAAAGACCTGAAACAGTATTATTAACTGAACTTTTGGTATCTTAATGCGATTTCATTATTTATATTTCCAAACAGCTATAATCTAATTTTTTTCCTGTTATATTTTTACGTGAAAAAAATTCTCACAGAGGAGATAATTCATTAAATCAATGCATATACTAGCCTTCTTCATATTATTGGCGGACATTGCTTGACTAGTAATGTATCTCAACCGCTTCCATCGAGCACCTCTAGATGCGAACATGTGTACGTTTTCGTCCACTACTGGGTCGGGATCCAACAGCATTGGCTGAATTTTAAGTAAAGCTATAAAGCAAGAAAAAAAAACTTCTGTTGTTCACGTGAATAGTCAAAATGGAGGTTGCTACCAGAGATAGAAATAGGTTTTCCAACCTATAACTTGTATCTGTAACTGGTAGTTTGACTCATTCCGTAACTTTCCTTTGTTCAGCAAACACGAGATTGTTAATACACGTTTATTTTGTACAAAATGGTACAACAGAGTTTGTATTAGTGGCCAACGTTTCGACAGTTTCGCTTTTGTCAGAACTATCTAAGTGGAATGCACGCCAATTTTGTTCTTATAGTTTCTGAAGAAGGGAAAACTGCCGTAATGTTAGCCACTGAAACGAACTTTAATGGTACGACTTTGCACGAAATTAACAGGTATTAACAATATCGTGTTCACGAACAAAAGAAAGTCGCAGGTGGTGGGCAAGAAATTTTGAGTCAGTTGGGATTCGAACCCACATTTCATTCTATTCGAGAGCATATGAAACCGTTGCACCAACGACGCTAGTTTTGCACAGCACTCTTTTTCGCTACAACGCGTTATCTGTCAACAGCCAACCGTCAACGGTCTGGCGGGGCAGCCGCTATCGACATTGAACCCACTTATGCTGACAGATAGTGGTTATTGATAATCAATAAGAAATCATTGTTATTTGTCAACCTCTTGCGGTGTTATGATGTTACAATATCTCAATGATATAGAGTGGTGTGCAAAAACGCTTGCGTCAATTGGGATTCGAACCTATATTTCACTCTATCAGGAAGTGCGTGCTGAACCATTGCACTACCGACGCCCGTTTTGACACAACTCTTTCTACAGATAACGTGCTGTAACGTAGAAAGAACGGGGGTCGGTAGTGCAAAGGTTCACCACGCACACCTGGGTAGAATGAAAGGTGGGTTCGAATCCCAGCTGAAGCAAACATTTTTGCACACCACTCTACATCACTGGGTATATTGTAGCATCATAACACCGCAAGAGGCGGTCATATAAAAATGATTTCTGAGGTCACAGGATTATATAATCAATGTCAATGTTAGTCGATGGTCGAAGTGGAAATTATTACGAATGTTTGAAAAAAAACTGAAGCGATAAGATAGAAAGCTTCATTTAATCGCTTTTTGCGGTGTTATGACGCTACGAATTCGTCCAGTGATGAAGAGTGATCTGCAAAAGTTCGCGTCAGCGGGATTCGAACCCATATTTCACTCTATCCAGTGCGCGTGCCCTAACCCGTTGCACAACTGACGCCCATTTTGCATACCACTCTTTCTACGCTTTCTACGAAGCGAAAGTTTTACGCATCACTCTTCATCACTAGGTATATTCGTAACATCACAACACTGCAAAAAGGTTAAATAAAAATTTCTATTTGATCATTTGATATTCAATATTTGTCAGCGTAACTGGGTTCAGTGTCGATACCGACTACTCGTGCCATACTTGACGGTTAGCGGATAACAGATAGATGCGTTGTAGCGTAGAAAGAGTGGCGAGCATAATAGGCGTCAGTAGTGCAGCGGGTTAGAGCACGCGCTCCCGGATAGAGTGAGATGTGCGTTCGAGTCCCGCCTGAAGCGAAAACTGGAGCTTTCCAACTACTAGATCTCTAGATTCTGTAAAGATCACAGTAGGCATGCAAACAGAATATCTCAATTGAGTTTGTGCGGAAATTTTGAGCCTAGATGAATAAATGTGTTGATGCCTCACAATCCTCGCATGAAAGCAGCTGAAGTATTGTTGCGAAATATTTCGAATCACTTCTACATCACTGATTATCACCGTTGGAAGTCCACCTTGCATCACACCAAAAACAGGACCATACTGCTTGGCTAGTTTGCCAAACGTAAAAACTGCAGTTGGAGATTGGAAGATATTGAGATTTTCAGTGATAAAATGTGTTGAAGGAAGAATAGGGAAGCCACAGTTCATAAGACGAGCATGATCATAGTAGCGCCTGAAATCTCGCTATACAAAAACTGAGATCTAGATACCAACAAGATTTGTTTTGTTTCATTTCCTCCTCGAACCATTCAAAATAAAAACACTGATTAAGGATATAGGATGATTTCACCTGTACAAAAGGAAGAATATCAGACAAACGGCTAATGATAGTAATAATATGACCATATCTGATTACCAGGCGCGTCTATAAGTTGTAAACTAGAACAAATATAATTAAGGCGAGTGTGTAAAGCGATGAGGTGATGGAACAGCAGTGTAAATCGGTTATACGATTGCGTTCGACAATCAGTAAGCGAAAATAAACAGCATATCAATTGCTCCCATTGAAAAATATATAATAGCAATTAATTCCGGCAAAGATTTATGAAACAAATCAGCACAAAGAAAACTCTTTTCTATGACATATTTCACCAATAACATGTAGAGCTTCTGTTGCAGTACTTATAAACGCCCTGAGGCAATATGGGAACTAAATATGGTGTAAATTTGTACAAAAGTAGCCTCGCACGTGAACTGAGGCACAAGTGTATTCAGTTAAACCTCCCTGTTTCCAATGTACCACACTGATTTATACCTTGTTTGCACATAATCGTTGCTATGCATACGTGTGTCTCTGTGGCTAGTTTGCATACTCATTGCAAAAAACGTAGATTCTGTCAAAACTGCAATCGACTGAAGAGAAGCTACTAAAAAGAGGAACTATGTTCACCTGACTTAAGTTTCCCACAAGTCTACTTCAGAAGAGGCTAATGAGTAGGCCTAAAACATACCTAGACAGCAAAGTGCATAAATGTCGTCCACCTAGAAGCGCCACAATAAGGGACTCTCTCTAAAAAACATGACCATTTTGGTATCCACTGAGCGAACTGCTATCACTTTGCAGGTTATTGCAAGGGACGAACAACTGGAGAATTAGAAATTGTCATGAAAAACTGCCAAGTTGCACAGCTTATAAGAACATATTAACGAGTGTTATGCAAAACAACGAAAAACAGAGCTCATAGATATACCCAATGATGAAGAATTATGTGCAAAAATTTGCACCAGGCGAGACTCAAACTCGCATATCACCCTATCCGGAAGCGCGCGCTCTGTCCCGTTGAACTATTGACGCCCGTTTTACCATTACTCCATCTACGCTACAACGCATTTATCTGTCAGCAGCCAACCGTCAACGGTATTGGCCCTGGTGTGGCAACAGAGCTTTCAGTAGCAATCGCACCTAAAAGCATTAGTTGCTGCTTGTTAATCGGTATTTGGAATCAATATACATGAGTGATTTACAACAAAAGGATCCATAATTTTCAGTATACTGATAAATCAACCTTCAATTGCCAAAATTCGGCTACGAACATGTTGTAGAAATTGGTCGGTTCCTTGCACCTGAGCATTAAGTCGTCTTAAATACATTTCGTCGTTTTAGAGAAAGATTCTCAGTCATGAAATCTTATTAGACTACTCCGAAGGTGGACTCCCGAAGACTGAGTGCCGAGTGAGTAATGTAGATTACACCTTTGAACAAAGTGCGCTATCCAAATTTACACTTTGCTGATGCTCAGGACCATCCACTCAAAATATCTATTTGAGCATACCTCTCCCCACAAGTACTGAAATTAACAGTTTTAGAATACTATGCGGAAATTTGACCCTTCTTGAACGAGAATTCTTGGTGTACTTGCCGTGCTTGCATGGAACTTCATGGCATAAAAGGAGAACGGCACCCATGGAAAGCAGCTGGGTGGTAAGGAGGTTTTTAATGGACTGATGGACCTCCAGAAACGGTTTAGTTGAAGTTATTTGGAAAGTTTAAAAGTGGACAAGATCTAGGTAATCATCTCGAGAGCATAATGAATCAAGAAGAAACAGGTAAAGCACGCCAAATTAGAACGGATAACCACCAACAGAAGTTTTAGCGATGAATAATGTTCTTAGTAGAGTATAACTGAATAATAAAGAGTTAATACGAAAAAACGATAGAACAAAGTTTTTCTGTTTATAAAGGTCTCGACTGATGAAGCACACCATTTAGCAAAAATTATTGAGAGTTGCTGATGAACTGAGATCTCACAAAGTGTGCATCATTATTTTCCACACTTTCATCGTCCTTCAGTTTTTAATCATTCTGCTGACCTCTTGATATTGTACAAAATGAAACGATATTAAAGCTCTAAAACTTACATTGTAATACTTTATTCCAGGAGTGTAAAATAATTATTTACCTACTTGTTTGACGATTTTTTCATTTACGGCTAGGCACAAAGATGAATTGGTGCCGACATCTTAAACAGAAGTTAATTTCGGTTAAAATATGAATAAATGTGATTAAGACAGCATAGAAGGGCTTAATAAGTTCCGAATATGAGCTTTTCGCAAGCTTTTTCTTTCTTTTGAGAAATGCGGTGTTTTAGAGGACGTATTGGCATTGGTCTTGACATCGATGTCAAAGCGAAATCTTTTCCAAGGTACTCTACTATTTACCGACGATAAATTTCCTTCAATGACAGCAAAAATCAGAATTCTGAAACTATTTCGTTATGGTAAAGCATTGGCCTTCCGTGCTGGACAAAGATTTTGCCCTAGATTTTTGGCGATCATTCGAAACGAAATATCGAGTATTTCAAGTGACTCGGTTTTTGAAAAGGCTTTTTCATGGAAATGCAGCAGTCAAAATAAAATTGCGTTACACATTGTTGCGTGATATTGCGAGTATTTCTATTATTTACTTGAAAACTTCTTCCATACTTCGTAGAGAAAATTCCAAGGGTTTTTTGCTGGTGTTGTAGAAAAAACTTCAGCCTAGTGTTTTGAAAACTTTCAAAACTTTTCATTTCCCTTTTACATTTCTGAAAAAAATCCTCTAACTAGCCTAAACCTAATAGAACTAGGCCTATGCACATGTGCCGCACATTATGAGGTAAATGCTTTTGTGGATTTGGGAATAAAAAAAGCGACAAAATTGACCTGTATATTAGGCGATACAAATCATATGAGTGCTACTTTGGCGGAATTGCCCATATCCTTGTACCACCTCAAAATTGATTGAAAACAGATATTTTTCAAATCCCCTTGTGCAGTCTCCTTCCACATCAAAACAATTCAACCACGTATCCAGCAACTTGAAAATTTCGAAAAGGTAAAATTGGCGATCTTTCGATTTGAAGAAAGTTTGGAGATTCTGCGCAATTCCGAGGATCTTTAGAACCTCTTACCTCTCAGAAAGTGCTCCATCGAACGGAATAAGTGACAGCCATTCGGCATAAGGCAAACCTTTGCTGCGCTTTCTGTGTGAGTTTTTCTGATGGAGTAATACTTTTCTAAATAATATAAAAATTGAAATGAAAAATAAGTCTCTACTGCAAAGGAACATTCATATGACTGGCCCTGGAACAAGGGGGAAAGGGTTTGTTAAAAAAAAGAAACTCATGCAAGAGAATCTACTGAGGGATAGGTGGCAAGCGATGCAAAGCCAGAGTGCCGCACCGAACTTAAGTGGCTGAATAGGAAAGAGATCAGAGTGGTTTCAACAGCAAACTTCACTACCATACATCCACATATGGGAGTTCCAGAAGTCGGAAAATGTGTATGGTCAACGCTTGGAGAAATCACTGCGACTACGTCCGCAAAATCAAACTCAGACAGTTGGCGATGGACGTGTACGGCAACTAGTTAAAATTCAACTCTCGCCCTCAGACAACATCTGGCAGCGTTCTCAAAAGGCCAACAACATTATCACGACGACGCAGGTGGTGTGCTGAATACTACCGAAGGTTTGCAAAGGTTGAACGAAGCGGTTGCGCTCATGAAAAGATCCAGAGAAGTTTTTCCGAGCTGGTCAATGTGAGAAGTACATTGGCATAGAACGATTCTATATTTATACTCCTAAGCGGGTCAGACAGTCCACTTATGGTTTGTATATTCTAAGTATGAGTGTCATACCGCATATTGTAAAAGTAAAATATTATTATTTTTCAGCTTGTAGCACAGGCAGAAGATGTCCTTCCGAGAAGCCAAGTGCAGTACTAGAATCTCCAGTTTCGAATTATCGAATGACTACTAATAATCCGATGGAACAGCTTTTTTCTAGAAAGATTTGAGGATTCATGAGCCATTCTTTGAAATGCTACTGCATGCGACGAAATTGTTATCAAAGCAAACATTTCCAAGATAACTGAACATTAAAAAAATACGTTTACAGAAGTTCTTTCAATAATAATCTGTTTTTTTTCACTAAAAAGTGTTCAAGAGCAAAATCCTAGCATATAAAACCAGAAAAAAAATTTACCGTGAAAACTTACTGAAAGCTTAGTAATAGAATCAACATTTTTCGAGTTATCAACTGACCTAAAAAATATTGACGGAATGAGAAAATATGTTCAATAGCAGCTAACAAATGTTTGTTTTGATAATCATTTTATCAATCAGATTATTAATCATAATCAGAACTCATTTTATTTGACTGCGTAATGCGGTTTTATGATGTTACAATAAACGACGAGTCGGTGGTCCAACGCTTCAGCACACGCTCCCAGAAGGAGTGAGATGTGGGTTCGAATCCCGGCTGACGCAAATGTTTTTGCACACCGCTCTTTATTATCGGATTTGATATTTGCTTTCGCAAGAATCTGGTTTTCGCGTCCAAAAAAGCAATGTTTCGAGAACTGGCGTTAATTTTGTTGAATCTGTTCGTACATATGGGCTGAGTGGAAATTGTGTGAGTGAAAATTCAGGAGTTCTCATTTTTTTTTGTTTCTTCTTAAGCGGGGCACGAGCTCTTAAGTCCCTGGCGACCTTCCGAAACGTTAGCTGTTTGGTTGTATGAATAAAGTTTGGACTTAACACCTCGTGCCACGCTCAAGAAGAAAGAAAAAAAAAGAATTCTCGAAGCATGCCGAGGTTATTAGAGAGTCGGTCTTGGGATTTGAAAATTCGGGATAACTTGTTAATAACGACTGGTAATTACCTGGAGTAAGTTCAAGCGCTAGTTGACTTTTCAAAAGCAGTGCTTCATATCTACTCTTCCGTTCGGGTGAATCAACGGAAGGAAAGCTTTGGAGTGTTCAAACATTAATTTTATCCTATCATTAGACCAGTGTGCCACAAATTCAATTTATGTAGAGGCTGCTGAAAATTTGCGAACTATCTCTCAAACAGCGCAAGCAAACCCCTCTTCCTTCTCCTCTTCATTGTTTTGATTAAATGGTGTGCCTAGAGCTCCCTAATTGTTCAGTGCATCACATATCACTATGGATACGTCAACAAGTGAAGAAGGAGAGTTTACTTCAACTACAATGTGGTCTCAGCCATTGTAGAGCGATCGTACGCCACGGAAGTCATCTGTAGGAGACGATGACGTGGAGAAGGGACAAGCGTTTACAAACACCCTCACTGATGGAATCGTAATTTTTTCGGTATTCTCCGGACTAATAGAAAGTTGGAACGCACAAAAGAGCTGTTAATAAAAAAGGGCGGCCGAACACCTCAAAGTTCCCATAGTTCAAATACCATAGTGAGAGGCTAGACAAGAAGAACTGCTTTCAATAAGCATTGAGGCGTTTGCGAAAGCCTCAGTTCATTAACAGCCGTTACTAGCAAGTTATCTCAAATTTCCGCTGGCCCATATTCCAGTTAGTCCATGTGGAATCAAAACCTTCATCTTACTTGCAGACATTAAGAATCTTATTTGAACAATGCTGCATAATGTAAGCAATAAAGTAAATAGAAACTTTATTCACGCAAAGGTCACTCGAAAGTTGGTTATATAAAAGTACAACTTCGCCGGATCCTGTCCAATCGATCAACGAAAGTAACTCATGTGCAATACAGTTCTACAAACCTATTGTTCATTGGGAAAAACTCTTATAGACCTAACCTCAGTACAAAATTTCTCTTCGATGGGCTATCGATTGATCATCAATGACGCGACGAACGATATTAGAAAAAAGAATGTGCATCGAAACCGATACAAACCGTCCTTGATGGCCTCTACGTTTTTGAAATAATATATATCGTCACGTAAAGGTCAATGTGATTCAGTGATTGCTATGGGTGATTTCAAAATCAGATAGAACTTAAGAAACTCTAAACATGCGATCAAAATGTACAATAAGTGCGTAT